AAGTAGGTGGAGTTCCACATATGTCTCACATCAGTTGGAAACTTTCTTAGGCGGATCTGACTATTCCTGTAATATTGTCAGAATTCTTGGAGCCAAGCTCCAGAACTAGATATGAAGGATAAAGATTCTCTAATATTTGTTAGATTAGAGGAAATATGTTCAATTCCTACTTGTACTACTAAATTTAATATGTGACACGCACATCGTTGATGAAAAATTGCACCACCAAATGCTAGTTTCAAACTACGTTTAAACATGTTAATTGCAGTCGTGTTAGCTGATGCATTATCAAAGTAATAGTTAAAACTTTATCTTCTATCCATAAAACCAAAAAATTTCCATTATTGTTTAAAAAATAGCATTTGCGTTATGAGGAAATAGACATAAACGAAAACCTATTATTCTCTTTTCTAAAACCCATTCATCATCAACATAAAACGCCGTGATGCAAAAATATCCAGTTTTATTGCACCTCCCCCATAGATCAAAAGTACAAGATATAATAGCATTAAAAGACCTAAAATTATCAACTTGAGATTGTCTCATTGCATAAAATACTTTCATGCAATCAGAACGAGTTATGTTTCTACTTACCCATTTATATTGCGGGCAGAAGGCCGTCTGTATGAATTCTTCAAACGCTGCATCATCTGCAAAAGAAAGAGGTAATTCGACACTAGCTAAAAATTTAGCTAGTGCCTCACGAGCACGTTGTGCATTGTATGTAAAATTTTGCAACCCTTGTGATGTGAATGATAGTGTTTGTTGGCGGGAGTCCACATTCCCACCTTGGTGTAACGGCAGACATGCTTTCTAATGTCTATCTAAATGACCAGTACCCTCACCTTTTTTATTAGAAAAGTGCTCTTTACAATATTTACATATCGAACGAATTTCCATTTCACTTGTTTTTAGATTTAGTCGGGGCTCCTCTGTGAAATGCTGTCATGCGGGAGCAGTTCGCGGTCTTTTTTCCCTGCTACGTACTCCAACTTCCTTATTGTGCACTGAAGCATTATCAACCGGAGCAGTTTCCGGTTAAGTGGGGGTGGAGTTGTGGACCAACATTTCATTCTTGTAAAATGGCTCATCACCAAGCTCAGGGAGGGCAGTGAAATCAGGAAAATTTGATGCGGCCATTTTCTGAACAAAAGAAACTAATGTTAATTCGTTCATTTGTAAACAATAAACAGTATAAATAAACTTGAGTAATACAATGTTATGTAACAAAATTGATAAGTAAAATACCTTTTTTTCTGAGATTTTTGAAAATTGATTGAACTTTGAAAATGAAATAATAAGAAAATGAGTAATCGAAGAGAAAAGCTCAGAATCAATATCAAAGAGACAAGATGAGGGATTTTTGGCCTCTCTCTATCATCGCCGCTGTGAATCCAACGTTCAGAATCGCCGACAACATTCCGGCATCGTGACGATCTCTTCAATTCCGATTTGCAACTTTTCCGTTTATCGTACCTTAAC